CTTCCATGGTCAATATGTGAATACACTTCTCCAGGATCATCTCCGGAGCACCTTTCAGGATCATAATATATCCATCGTTGTCTCTGTGTATCGTTAGATGATACTTGGTTATGGAGCTGAAGGGAATCTCTGCAACTTTTGGATACATTTCCCGGAACGGTTCTGTCGAGTGGATGTGCTCGCAGAATCTGAGGATACCTGTCTCAGAGGCGTCGCCAATTATGTTTCGTTCCTCGATTGGTTTCAGCAGGATAGACTCGGTTGTGAACTCCGCCCTCAAGCAAAGAGTCGCATTCTTGAGCATCACTTGGAAAGCAGGCCTTTCCATTAGTAAGTTCTTCTCGACGCCCAATCTCTGATCAGGCGGGCAATTGAACCTGGTGAAGCCAAACCATAAATTAGACACGCTCATCTTATTCTGCGTGAGCGTCCCCGTTTTATCCGAGCAGATAATTGACGTGGATCCTAGTGTCTCCACTGCCTCTAAATTCTTAATCAAGCAGTTCTTGTTCGCCATTTTTTGGGCCGTTAACGTCAAGATCGTGGTAACGGTTACCAATAAAACTTCCGGCACGTTCGCTATGATGATGCCAAGCAAGTAAGTGGATGCTCTCAGTATGTTTGGATTGATTATCAGCGACAAGCCGAAGAACAGCACTCCGAACAATACGGCGATAGTGATGATTATTTGAACGAAGTGTCTGATCTCTTTGGCTATCGGGGTCTCGGACTTTTCCAATTGCGACGTGAGGCCAGCAAGACGACCTATCATCGTTTGATCGCCAGTGGCCATTACAACCCCAATGCCATCCCCGCTCACGGCGAAAGAGGAGAAGAAGGCAACGTTGGAGGATTCTAAGGGATTCTCGTCGGTTGGATAGTTCGTGCGAACTACCGGCTCGCTTTCGCCCGTGATACTCGAATTTTCCACACGGAGACCTTGACACTCGATGATTCTGATGTCGGCTGGTATTTTGTCACCGGTTCTGATCTCCACTAAATCGCCTGGGACTAGGTCTTCGGTTGCCATTTGTATCTTAACACCTTCCCGTATCACTGTAGCGAACGTTGGGACCATTTTCTTGAAAGACTCCATTACCTAGAGAGATTGTATCTATTTCCAACATTTTCATAGCAATTTAACGAGTTTAACGAACGACCCATTTACCTTTGTATTTTTGGTTTCTTGTATGTACGCGCAGAAGCCGGAAAACAAGCATATTATCGTAATGATAATTCCTAGCCATTCTATGCCACCACTTTCGCCCTCTGTCGCCATGCTAATTCCATACAAAAGATAGCACAATAATGAACAGGCCCACATCAAACCGGCGAACCCGTGAAACATACATCTTATAAATTTGATGTATTCCGGTGTTACTTTCGGCGGCGTTAGAGCGTTTGGCCCCACCTCGAGGAGAAGCTTCTCTGCCTCCTCCTTGGTTAGGCCAGTAACTGCGTTGGTATTTAGTTTCACGCATAACTGTTCCAAAGGGATCGTGTGGTCTTGAGTTATCAATTCTTGGTGAAGGTTCGTGATCTCTTTCTCAGTTAACTTCTTTCTACTGATCTGACTAGCCGACTTGTGTAATATCTTACTCGCTGCGTAGATCATCTTGAAATACATAAAATCTGTCTCTGAGAAATGTGCTTCAGTTGTTCAAATTTTTTTTTCAATGCCAGAAATCTTCATGGCCTGCTTGTTCCACGAGGAGAGAACTTCAGAGTTTATGCATCAGTTTTTAATTGTCTGAATCTATTGATCTGTTGCAGGTTCTGAAAGGTTTGAGCTATTTGCGAGATAAACATGCGATTATGCATCGGGACGTAAAACCAAGCAATATCTTGGTGAACAGTGCCGGAGAGATCAAAATTTGCGATTTCGGTGTTTCCGGGCAGTTGATCGATTCTATGGCCAATTCGTTCGTTGGAACTAGGAGTTATATGTCGGTAAGGATTGTAATTGCATCGTTGTTTCAATTGTACTAGACACAACGTGTAATAAAAATGTTTGCACTTGTAGCCAGAAAGACTTCAAGGCACACATTACTCTGTGCAAAGTGATATTTGGTCCTTAGGACTATCACTTGTGGAAATGGCGATTGGAATGTACCCAATTCCACCTCCGGACGAGAAAACTTTAGCTGCGATATTCAGTACTCCACCAGGTCAACTACTTGCGGAGAATGCTACTAATAATGCCTCTACTCCAACGCAATCGCCTGCGCACAGTTAGTTTCCTTTCTTTCATATATCATATGAATTGTTTTGTACAATTTATTCTTTATATATATATATATATATATATATATATATATATATATATATA